GTGATACTTTCTAGACTTCAGTGTGATATATCCAGTGTCATAATCGTATTCTTGTTTGTGACATATAGAGCCTACGTAGGGGCACATCTTTAATAAGATGATAATAGATTTATTTTGATTTTTTATTTAGTTAGCGCTTTGACAGGTGCTCAAAGACGCTTTACAGATATAGTGAAAAGAAAAGAAAGGAACAACAAATACATATATAGTTAAAGTCAAATAATACAAAAACAATCACACATTAAAAGCCGGGTTGAAGANAAAGAGAAGAAAGGAACAACAAATACATATATAGTTAAAGTCAAATAATACAAAAACAATCACACATTAAAAGCCAGATTGAAGAGGTGAGTTTTGATGAGGATGAAGATGAGGTCATATAAGCCTTTTATTAAGTGTTTCAGCTATAGTCATGTCATATGTTGTCATGATGGAGTTAACTCCCTGACAGTAACTACAGATTTTTCCACTTTGAGAGGGTAACAGTTTTGAGAAAGCACAGTCCATACTTGTCATTGTTCACATTTTCTGCCATGAAAAGGAACATATATAGAGCACAACAGTGGAATTTAAACCTTTACATTGACTGTGAATTTAAATGTATTTGTTCATTATGATGTATATGATGGTTAGGACGTACACATTCTTCAAACTAAAATGATAGTAAATGGATTGATATCATTGTCACATTATCTTTCACTGAAACAATAATATTTCTATAAACCTGAAGGACAAACATGTGACTGTGGAGATGAGGAGACTGTGTGATGCTACAGCAGAACAGCCTGACCCACCCCTCTCTAAGCACCCAGGACGCTTTCTTCGAGCCTCCCTATTGGGATTCTGGTAGCCTACATTCTCTGCTTCAAGGTCGGCAGCAGTAGCAAATTCAATTACTTGTCCTGTTTTGTGGTGTTGGCGCCGGGTCAACAGCATCTTGGCTAAAATGATGAGTGCGGGAATCTGAAGGGAGCCGCATTTGTCCCAGGTCTCTGGTGTCATGTTTGCAAAGCAAGTAGCAGCAATGAAAAATGGCTGAAATCAAAAGCAGTGTATTAAATTCTGCTTCTGTAATCACTTGCAAAAAAAAAATCAATTACCTGTGCTTTCAAATGCACCACTTTATACCGTTGTCCTTTGGTTTATCCTGCTGCTGGAGGATGTCATATGCTTGCACATGGAGTGAAGCTCGACTGCATTAGGTGCATTTTTCAAACTCACACCACAGCAAACGCCTCCTGCTGGGCATTTTGGGTATGATATATGATAAATAGGGGTAAACTAACTATATATATAGTTTTAATTTAAGCGGATGTTATTTTGGTTGGTTATTTTTGCATAGAGAACCACATTTTATCATAATTAATTTAACATCACTTTACAAAAAAGAGGTCTTTCGCTCAACAGTTTCATTTCAGCCACCATGTACATATCTGTCATGCATGCTGTATCTTCAGCCGCATGCAGACTTTATCTCTCAGTTGCTGACAGGGTTGTTATCTAAAGACAAACAGGTTACACGCCACACTGTCGAATGGGAGCTACTTAGAGTATGTAATGGGGTGTCAAACACGCAAAAGCAAACGGACAACTTAATATGCTCCACCCAACCGCGCAAATGTGTTTCACAGAGATCTCTTTGTATTGTTACCAAGTTATAGGATAAATCTATGATAAGTTTTCACATAAACCAATATTAGATAAAAGGTGTGTTTTATCTTACTTCCGTTTAGTTTGACCATGAAACTTGCTCACCTACAGTACACAATAATACTAACATGACCTCCGAACACACACAACAGGGTTGTAACTGTAAGGCAAGGCACGGCAAGTTTATTTATATAGCACCTTTCAACACAAGGCAATTCAAAGTGCTTTACAAAAAATGAAAGACATTAAGAAAATGGCATTTAAAATCAGTCATTAAAAAGAAAAGATAATAAAATAAAATAAACTGTAGCACTTACTGTGCCAAAACTGCAGTTCACATGACACCTTAATGGTTGTCAATATCAGAGAGTATGTTCATTTAAAAAAGGCAACACACAGCATTTTCTCATTTGGTATATACTCAATACAATATCAGTGTTCTATCTCACACAGGCTCCGCCCTCTACTGGAGTCTATGGGTAATACTCTCATCATATGAACAGTGGCAAGGCTGAGGACGTGCTCTGTGATGAGGGGTCAAGCTCCCCCTCCTAAGAATTCTCAATAGATGAGAGACAAACATGAAGACTGAATGGACAAGTACAGCGGTCACAGGAAGCAGAACGTGTGGCTATAACTGTACTGTATGTAGCAGGGGGTGGCATGTCTACAGGAATTCTAATCCAACTCACCTCAGGCATCCACAAACCAAAAGTCGTTGTTGAAGGCCTTTGTTGTACTTCTAAGCATAGGCTGTAAACTTAGCCTCGCTCATGAGATAGATTCACTGCAGCAATGAAACATGAAAAATGGAAACACTGACTCTAGTATGAGAAACACCCACTGGTCTTAAACTGTTACATCAAAAGGTTTATTAAATGTGAGTTTAAGTGTTATACAAAACTAAAATGCATTGTAGTTTAAATCAGAACAATGAATTTTTAAATAATGTGTACAACCATTTGTATTCTTTCAGTGAAGGTAAATAAAATAAAATATTCTTGTTTATAGTATATTTTGTTGTTTTTAAGGCAATCTAAAAAGGGAAGTTAGTTCATAAAAGGTTTGATATAGAGGTGTAATAAGATCATGTTCAGTGTGCTAACATAGTTAGTTGTAGTCAGAGGCCCTACATTTTTGATATTTCAACCAAGAGTTCAGTTGAACAATATTTTCCTCTTTCTTGTCGCATGATGCTGGGACTACTCGACACTAGAGAGCAGCAGAGCAGCATTAAACAAACACTGACCGACTCATTCGACTCGTACGTTCTCCTCTAAATACTGCACCTATGATGCTGTGTTCTAGTTACAAAAACGTCTCACATTAAATATAGGTAAGTAAACAAAAATAAACACCCAGAGCAGTTATCTGGTTATTCATAGCACTTACTTTATCTGTGTTATCAGTTCAAGTGTGTGTGTTTTAGGATTTGTGTGAATGCAGTAAGGATGTATTCACAAGAGTTAGGATATAGGTGTGGAAACTGAGAGGTCTGTTTTCATATAACTTAAATATGAAAAAACAAGATTTGAGTTTCCCTTATATTTTTTGCCACCTTCAGAAGTTGTCTGAGTTCCAAGGAGAAGCAGCTTTTCCTCGACACAGACTGTTCGACCAAAGGCTACACCTCTCAAGTACCTATTGTTGCTTTGTGTTGACAGAGTAAATGAATATTTAACAGGAGGAGAGAAAGTGCTAGGCATCAGATCACTAAGAAGAAAATAACCCCTCTCTCCATCATGTGACCAGGCTATCAATGGTCCAATGACTGACTAGGTTGCTGCTTTTATTGGCTGCTTATTTATTTGCTCACCCAATGTTGATTTTGAAACCTTGAATGAAAGGACATTTTGGGGCTTCTACACGTCTATATGTAGACTGTGTGTTTACATGTCAGATGGGGTCTTGTGGTGGGTTGTTTCACCCTGAAAGAGATGCCAGCAGGGTGGAAATGTGTGCGGTAAGCACCATGGACAGTGAACAGAGGCTCAAACATGTGATCAAGGCGATGCGGATGGAAATCAGAAAGCTGGAGCTGGAGAACATGGGCCTGAGGAGGAGAGCGGGAGCTAATCTCCGAAAGATTGCAACCGTTCCCATCATGACTCCAGAATGCAGAGGTAGACTTATTGTCAATGAGCTGTAGGCTTTGAAATATGCATATGCTGTGTGGCGTTTCTAAGGTTGGTTCTTTATTTAATATTCTGATTGCACTTTCAGTGGTGGAAACTAACTAAGGACATTTACTCAATTAATGTTACTTCACTAATGTAATTTTCATTGTATGCAACATTATACTGCTCCTCTAATAGATTTTGGAAGACAATTGTGTCCTTATTACTCCACTAAATGTATTTTTCACAGATTGATTTACTAGGTACTTAAAACATTCAGATTTTGACACACAATACTTGGGGGAAAGTTTTAAAATAGGATTATTTGGTATAGATCAAACCATCCAAAATGATATTTAAGATACTAAAACCATTAGTGGGTTAACAGAAAATTAATTCTAAATAAGATTGCTTTGTTAAAAATATTTATTTTGCAAGTAGGCTAGTACTTTTACCCCTAATACTTTAAGTAGCCTACAATTTGTTTCCTACCTTTTCCTAATCGTACTTAAATTATTTTGTTTAATGACTTTTCTTGATGCAGTACTTTTACTTGAAATTGAGTATATGTACAGTGTGGTATTAGTGCTTTTACTCAAGTAAAATCGGAATACTTTGTCCACCTCTGCATATTTTGGCATTAGAGTTGTGTTGACCCACCTTTTTGCTGGTATATTCTTTATTCTGTCCTTCAGAGAGCGTTGTCATGACAGTCAGAAGATATTCCATCTTCCAGCCGTTGGCCAGTCATCGGAATGTGCAGATGGACGGTGTGAAAAGTGAACGATGGACTGGAAAACAGCCAAAGAAACATGCAAATTAGCATGCTGATAAACTGTGGCCTCTGACAACATCGAAGATTGGTATTGTAAAGTTATGCTTTCTGTTAAAAAAAAAAGTAGACTAGAAGCTCTACATGGTGGCCTGGCCTGCATTAAAGTTAACGCATGGCTATCCCTTGCTTACCTTCAAATCTGTTTTGACACCAAAAATGGCAAAAAGTGTATCACTGTCTCAAAATAAAGTTTTTTTCTGCCCTCGGTGAATTTTGTAACATTAATACTGTAGCTTAAATGTTACGTTTTTTCATACCAATAGCTTTTTCGTCGACACAATGTTGACACGATGTCGATCAAATGTCATTGTTAAGCTAATGCAAATGTTGTTATTACCATCATCAACCTGTGGAACGCACCTGTCAGTATAGTGACTTTACTCTCGCGAGATTTCGGCGTTGCGCAGTGGAGTACAGCCGTCCGCCATCACTGCATACAAGCTAGCATTAGCCAAAAACCACTGAGAAGCGAGCGAGTGACAACAACATAACAGACATACACACCGACCTAATTCCTGCAGGGGAGGTCACTGAGTTACCCTGTCGCTTTCCTGGCGTAGAAAGCAAACTAGCAACTGCCTTTCATGTAGTCTTTAAGTCAACTTAGTAACGAAAGTCGTTCTAACTAATCATGTCCAACCTCAAAGGCGGCACCAAGAAGGACACCAAGATGAGGATACGAGCCTTTCCTGTAAGTATTTTCCGGCTCTGCGAGCACTGTGAAGCTAACTGTGAGACTCGAGTACCGGGGATGACAGGTCTCTACGCTAGCAACAGCCTGCTAGCTAGCTAGTCAAACGAGAAAAACATGTCATTGTCAAGTAAAAATTGCAATTATTAGGACAAATAACCGAAATAACATTAGCTGTGTTATCAGTTAAGTTCAAACGCTACCTTGATTTGAAAATGCTTTCGTCGTTTGACGTTAGCTACTGTTAGCATGTCCAACGTTAAGGAAACTTCATCAGTGACATACTAGCAATTGGTAGCAAGCTAAGTAGCAGGCCTGATAATGTCAGCTAACTTGACGCTAGCTAAGTTACAATCAGTCTGCAAGTATTATAATGCTATTGTAAGAGCAAGATGTCTTGGCTGTTGGTGTTTTGTTGCACCACGCATTTGGCGTGGGCTGTTATAGATGGCAATTTACACATTAGCATGTTTTGTTAGCCTGAGAGCTAACGCCACTTCAGCACTTACTCAAGGCTACAGTAAACATGTCTAAGGTAACCTGAGTAGTTAGTGTTGTTGACGTCCAACCAAACCAACTACGTTACCAGAACCACTTTCACACATGTATTTCATCCGCTGAGCGCTGGGCTGAATTACATCTTCACCCATAATGAAATCCTGTTATTAGCGCAGTTGCCATGTCGTGGTATATACAATCTTATTTGAGTTCTGATAGACAAAATTGCAACATCCATTCCTTGTTGAAATTGATGGTGTGAAACAGTTTTTGTTCTGCTTGATATCCAGGGTTATGAGTGGGTGTCTGGCAGAATGAGTCAGTGAGCAGATGAGCGAGTGATCATAGTTAATCTTCCATTGAAATGTTGATCCCACATGCAATGCAAGACCAGCCAATTAGACCACAATTTAATCACACTACCAGATGGTCAACCTAATTGGAATTAAGGTATTCATATAATGTGATTCAAATATAGTAGCTATTGAAACTCCTCCTTATACCAATACTGATTCTATGGATGACCAGTGCTCTTTTCCCCCAATTTCAAACATGTACTGTATGCTGGTACCTCTTGCATAGAACTGATCACAACTATGTTAATGTTAAGAAATTTCTAAACAACTGAGTTGGCAGCTCATGTGACGGAGTGACTTGGCAGAAACCACATTATCAAATTACAAATCAGATGCAAATCAAATGTCATGCAACTTTGCCATAAAATACATTTGTTATATATACATATATTAATTTCAGGCAGAAAGGTTAACTTGTCCAAGGTTATAAAGAGGTTTGACACACATTGCACCGGCGTCTAATTAACTATCTCCGTAGAGACGTCAGGGAGCTTATGTCATGGTTTACTGACTTTTATTCCTTTTTTAATCCTTTTGATGGTGGACATTTACCTGTTCGCTAGAGCCAATCAGCACTTGCTTTGTGTTTGGGGTTGAAAAGCCTTTCATGACGAGTAGACAAGACAATGGCACAGTTGTCATGGTCTTGCATATTATTATTATTATTATTATAACGTTTTCTGTTTTAACATTGATAGCCAACATATCACCATACTGCAAAAAGATGTCTGTTCCTTGGTTGATGCATGATCCTGACAGTCCACAGATTTTATTATTGTCCGCAGTAAACCTAAAAAATATAAGGACTTCTTAAACATTCTCCTTTCTTGATTGGTTTGTTATGGCTTCGATTTCTCCCAGATGAATGGCGTTACTGATATAGCTCTCTGTTGCTATTGATATGGCTACACTAGTTCAAAAGAGTGATTCAATCATGGCTTTTCAGTTAGCTATAGCTCCTGTGCTGTTGCCCTAAAATGCTTGATCACATTTCTATACGCTTGCAAAGTTATCTGACACAAGGCATCAACTGTCATTATGGCATCACAGATGGAGGACGTTATAAGCAACAAAAGTGATAGCTTGTTTACCATTCTGCTACACTTTAGTAACCAATACTCACTATTAACTCATCAATCCCCACTGCAAGGTAGAAATTGGTTGCTTAGTGTGGAAGTCTTTGTTTATGTATATATGGAAATATACTGGCATACTGAACCTTTAATATGCGTATGGATTTTTTTTTTTCAAGAGCCGCCATACTATTGTGTGCTAAATGTAGCGATGTTTTGATACCAGAAATAGAATAGTTGGTTTCAATAACAATGACATTTAAAAACTCTTGGTACCCAATCGATTCCAGGGTTCAAAATGATAAATCTCATGTACTTTAACATACACTCCTTAATATATATCTTTTTTTTTTATAAAAGTATCACAGGTTGTCATTCCACAGTTTCTTGACAAAAAGCTACATTAAACAAGATTACATTTGAACACTTCATGGTAAAGTTAAAAGTTACCTTCCCCGATTATAGATCTTTCTTTAATAAAGCATGTATGCATGTCAATACAAGTCAATAACGCCTCCAAAACCAGCGGCTAACGTCACCTAGCTGTACTCCTACTGATTTCCATACCTGTATTTATTCAGGTTTGTTAACTGTGTGCAGTGTTGTGTGCAGTGTTGAGGTGGATGTGCTGACAGCAAACAGCTGTTAGGGAGAGAGGGCGCAGAGGAGAACCTGCGGGGCGCACGGCCAGACTTGTGTGCCTTAGGAACAATAGGTGCAAGCGAAAACAAGTACTGTCACGATTTCACAACATTGGTACCGAAGCATCGGTTCTCATGAAATCCTTGCCTAATTGTGTTGCAATAAATAATCCTTAACAAGACTTTCGCCATCCAACATGATGAAATAAAAAATCAAACATTTTCAAGTAAACACACTTTCATCTCTCTGTCCCTCCTAGATGACAATGGATGAGAAGTATGTCAACAACATCTGGGACCTTTTAAAGAATGCCATCCAGGAGATCCAGAGGAAGAACAACAGTGGGTTGAGCTTTGAGGAGCTCTACAGGAATGCCTACACCATGGTGCTCCACAAGCACGGGGAGAAGCTCTACACGGGCCTGAGGGAGGTCGTCACAGAGCACCTCATCAACAAAGTAAAGAAACACATTTCCTCTATATTCAGCTCTTTCTTGAAAAATCATTATTGGAAAGAAATAGGAACATTATATAATTTGAGACAATCAATAATAATGAATTACCTATTTATTTTAGGTTTACATTTTCGGGCTACTGTAACTTGTAGCTAAAGTATTTCAAATGTTTAATATCAAAGAGCAGGGTTGAAGGAGGTTTTATTAAATTGACAAGATACACTTATAGTCTTGACTTTTACTAAGCATTATACACACATTGATTTTGGATACTACATTCTAGACAGCTACATGAGCCAAATCTGTTGTAAGACAAATTCTCCCCTTTAAAAAAATGTTCAGTTTATTAGCCACACTCCTAACATTGTATCCCACAGCCGCAACCCCAAATTGGGCTGGGGGCGTAAAGTAGGGGCTCAATGGTCCCTCCCTTGCTCGGATCACAACCCTCTTTAAACTTTCATTATGATTACAACTACATATTTGTGACAGCATTTTGCACATTTCCCATGCTTTCACAATCCCCAAATCTCTGATATGTGTCCCAGACATACAAGCACATAGACACGCCCCCCTTGCTTGACCCCATGGCCATTTTCCAACTTGACTTGTTTTGAATTACACACCTGTAAAGTTTTGTTTCTGCATCTTACATGGTTGAAAAACAAACACACAAACCCACACAGACTTACAAGGTGAACACAACTGTCTGTGTTGCTGCTGATAATATCTTGATGTGACCTTAATTCTGTCTTTGTGTTTTCAGGTACGGGAAGACGTCTTAAACTCTCTAAATAACAACTTTCTGCAAACACTGAATCAGGCCTGGAATGACCATCAGACTGCCATGGTTATGATCAGAGACATCCTCATGTACATGGTAAATAGGCTGTTGTGCTCTCTCGTCATACTATATGTTTTTCATATTGCTCTGTAGTTGTTATTATACCAAAGCTTTTAACATTTTACAATGCAGTGGTGGCTGTTATTTCAATGGGATCCACATTTGTGCATCCATCCTATTGGCTATGTTGCCTCTGCACGTGGATTACAGTGTGTGTTCCCTCTCATGAATAATTGTGTGCTACCAAAGAAATGGCCTTTTGTTTTCCAACTTAGACCTTACACTTTATCCCTTTCTGGACTTTGTAAGGTGCTGCTTTATCTGTGGTCTTAACAATTAGCTTTTGTTACTGTTTGCATTTGTTTAGTTGGACAACTAGCGGAACTAGGTGAATAACTTTAGCAGCAAGTCCAACATGTTAGTGTGGTGTGTAACTGAGTGAGCCCTCGAGATAGGCACAAGTGTGGCTCTAAACAATGGCACAGTCAGCACAGAGACCACAGCTCTCCTGGGGTTCCTTTCTTCTGCTCTCTCCTTTTTCCTGTCCTGGCCTTACCCCGGGGTCGGCTCTCTCGTGTTTAACTACAGAGACTCACCGTGCCTGTTCTGAGAGCAGCCTGCTGTTGTTACCTGCCTGCTGACCTCTAGAGGAGAGCCTGAAGGATGCAGCCAGTGTGACTTTGCTTTATTTACCTTTGTGAAAGCCCCCCCCCTTTAGGCCCTCGAGACATTATGTATTTTCTAGGGAAGTTAAGGCGATTGTTATTTTTCCTCCACACATTTGTTAACTGCTGAGCATGCATGTAATCACGTTTACTTTAGCCAGTGTTACCTGCCCCATTTTATTTTTAATGTAGTTATGTAATCCAGGAAATGCAAACTCATTGACTCACTACACACATGATGAAAGGAGAGATATCAGAAAACCCAACAAGCTTATGAGATTGAAAGATTTTTTTGATGCTTTTTGAAGACTTATGATGTTACTTAATATCCCAGAAGATAGTAGAAGCCACCTCCTCATTTTTAAGGTCAAATCTTGTTAGTTATACATTATAAATCTGTTATTACCATCAGCCCCTTGAATAGTGAGGCTTTCTGAATAGGGCTTATGTCTTGACCTCATGATTACTTGGAATAATTTAGACACCTACTAGTCCTTTTCCTGTCAATTAGATTGCATACTGTAAAATGGAAAGTCTCTGTATATCCAGCACCTATCAAAAATAATTTGCACCCCTTTGAATCACAGTGGATGAAGTTATTCTTTTATTTGTGCAATGATGAGCATACATAAATACATACCTATAAAGAGGGGGTGGAAACACATTTCACACAAACTGTACATGCCTCAATATACAGAAGTTTATTATTTAAAATCTCAACATGCATATGTTAATAAGAATGTATTTGAGTCAGTTTGGGGCCTTGGTACTTCTCTCCATTCACACACTAGTCAATGTCTTTCTCACACGCTCGTCTCTGTTGTCTCCCAGGACCGTGTCTATGTTCAACAAAACAACGTGGAGAATGTGTACAACCTCGGCCTCATCATATTCAGGGACCAGGTGGTCCGCTACGGCTGCATTCGAGACCACCTACGACAGACGTTACTCGACATGATCGCTCGTGAGAGGAAGGGAGAAGTTGTAGACAGGTAACTACGCGTGCTTCGGGATATTTAGGTTGAATTAGAAATGTGGTCGACATGCAGCAACTCTCCTAGGTCTCGTTCCTTATTTTGTTCAACATTATGCATTTATTTTAGTTGTGAAGGCTATTTTTGCCATGTTAGATTTCCTCTAAATAATTATTTGTAATAATTGCAAAATGGAAGACTCACTTGTTTGTATTATCCATTGCAGGGGCGCCATCAGAAACGCCTGTCAGATGCTGATGATCCTTGGCCTGGACGGCAGGTCTGTATACGAGGAGGACTTTGAGGGTCCTTTCTTAGATATGTCGGCGGAATTCTTCCAGGTAAGTCTGCGGGAGGTTCTTGCTGTCTCTATGATTTATAAACATTATAATACATTGACGCTAGGGCTGCTCAATTAATTGTATTTTAATCGCAATTACGATTATGGCTTGCAACGATTGCGAAAACAACGTGATCGAAATAAAACGATTATTCTTTCATTATTATTATTACTTTTTTTGTATTGGTTTTTCAGTTGAATTATACTTAAAGTTCAGGGTAATAAACTGTTAAAAACATACTAAATTGATGTTTTCAAAGTAAATGGATAATCGTTTTTTTTAATAATCGTGATATCAATTATTGACCCAAATAATCGAGATTATGGTTTTTGCCATAATCGAGATTATGGTTTTTGCCATAATCGAGCAGCCCTAATTGACACTGGAACTGTTTGTAATATACAAACACACAATGATCTGCTCTTTCAGATGGAGAGCCAAAAGTTCCTAGCAGAAAACAGTGCCAGTGTCTACATTAAGAAGGTGGAGGCCAGAATTAATGAAGAGATCGAGCGAGTTATGCACTGCCTGGACAAGACTACAGAGGAGCCCATTGTCAAGGTGGTGGAGAGGGAGCTCATTTCCAAACACATGAAGACCATAGTGGAGATGGAGAATTCTGGCCTTGTCCATATGCTCAAGAACGGAAAGACAGAAGGTAAAAAGCTTTTGCCTATTTGATATTCAACTTTTCTAAATCAAGGATTGCAAAGATACCTGTGCTCGATTTCCATCTTTAACTCAATCAGTTTTGTTTATTTCTCGTCCTTTCTCCCCACCATGTCTCCCTCAGACCTGGCTTGCATGTACAAGCTGTTCAGCCGTGTGCCAAATGGCCTGAAAACCATGTGTGAGTGTATGAGCTCCTACCTAAGGGAGCAAGGCAAAGCTCTGGTGTCAGAAGAGGGAGAGGGCAAGAACCCTGTCGACTATATCCAGGTATGCTGTGTGAGAAATGAGTCCAAAAGCACAACTTTAGATCTGAAGATAAGACACCTGATGATCCCTTCTTAAAATGTTGATGAAGAGGTTAATGTGTTTTTATGTATTACATCACGTCTTTGTATCTTCCTCCACAACAGGGCCTGCTAGACCTGAAGATACGATTTGACCGTTTCCTCCTCGAGTCATTCAACAACGACAGACTCTTTAAACAAACCATAGCAGGAGACTTTGAGTATTTCCTCAACCTCAACTCCCGCTCACCGGAGTACCTCTCACTCTTTATCGATGACAAGCTCAAGAAGGGTGTTAAAGGGGTTTGTAGATCCTTTTAATGATCTTTTAACGCAAAGCACATTTAACTACACATTTATGAACTGATTGCCCTGTCGTGTTTGAACAGTTAACAGAACAGGAGGTGGAGTCGATCCTGGACAAGGCCATGGTGTTGTTCCGCTTCATGCAGGAGAAGGATGTGTTTGAAAGGTACTACAAGCAGCATCTGGGTCGCAGGCTCCTCAGCAACAAGAGTGTCTCAGACGACTCGGAGAAGAACATGATTTCTAAGCTCAAGGTAAAAGAAGGACACGGTTTTGGTACCGAGTGTTTATGCAATTCCTTGTACTGTTTTTCTTTCTTCTCCACTCGTGTAACTCACTGTTCGGACTTTCTCCTTTGCAGACAGAATGTGGCTGTCAGTTCACCTCGAAACTGGAAGGGATGTTCAGAGACATGAGCATCTCCAACACTACCATGGATGAGTTCAGGCAACACATACAAACCACGTCGGTAAGGTCTCACAATGCTCTCGTCTAAACAAGGCACACTTAAAAACACATCTTCATTTGAAAGCACAGTTGAAGTTCCACAAGTTCACAGAAAAAGGATTGGAAGATCAGCTTTGTTGTATTGTAGTCTCTTGTATCTAACCACCATTCATTCATATTTGTATTGAAACAAAACCTACCATGCATCTCTTTCAGGCATCTCTAAGTGGTGTGGACCTCACAGTAAGAGTCCTCACGACAGGCTACTGGCCTACACAGTCGGCAACACCTAAATGCACCATCCCCCCCTCTCCCAGACACGCCTTTGAAGTCTTTAGAAGGTAATGCATCTAAATTCCCTCAGACGTCGATACTATACAGGGAGGTCTGAACTGGTTCTGTGTGGTTTCTAAAGGACTCTGCTCTTCTTTTCCAGGTTTTACCTCGCTAAGCACAGTGGTAGACAACTCACACTGCAACACCATATGGGCGGGGCGGACCTGAACGCAACTTTCTACGGAACTATTAAAAAGGTAGACACAAAAAGTAGTTTCAATTATAAACTACTGCATTCAAGATACAATTGTGTTGTTACGTATCGTTTCCTAAGATTTAATCAAACTTCCCTTTGAATTCTTCTGCAGGAGGATGGCTCAGAGGTGGGTGTGGGGGGTGCTCAGGTGACCGGCTCCAACACCCGGAAGCACATACTGCAGGTCTCCACCTTCCAGATGACCATTCTCATGCTTTTCAACAACAGAGACAAGTGTACTTTCGAGGTGGGGACACAGTGAAGTGACCTTAAACTCACTATCTGAATATCATTCTCGCATTAGATCCTTTCGCCTTTTTATAGATGTCATTTTGCTAAGTGACAACACAAGTTCTTTCGTCCCTCTTTTTACAATCTTAATTGTCTGTTCTGTCCCCGTCTAAAGGAGATCCAGCAGGAGACGGATATCCCCGAGCGGGAGTTAGTGCGAGCGCTGCAGTCTCTGGCCTGTGGGAAGCCGACACAGAGAGTCCTCACCAAGGAGCCAAAGTCTAAAGAGATCGAGACCGGCCACGTGTTTACGGTTAATGATCAGTTTACTTCCAAACTGCACAGAGTCAAAATACAGACAGGTGGGCAAAGCTTGTGCACAACACATGCATCACAAAAAGAAAAGTCACACCTCATTTCCAGGCCAGCTTCTGTCCAGCACGGCACTGTATTGCTTGGTCAGAGAGTTTCATTTCTATGCATTTAAAACATGATAATGTTGACTTGTTTCGGTAGTCTTAAAGGTGGGGTAGGTAAGTTTGAGAAACCGGCTCGAGATAAACTTTTTGTTATATTCCATGGAATGCTCTTAACATCCCGATAGCAATGAAAGTGCTTTGACAACAAATCCATAAAAAAATGTCATCTGTGGAAGCCGTAGTACTGTAAAAAGCACGACCAATCATTTTAGCCGGCCCGGCTAAAATAACTGGATGGCCTACCTGCCTGTCAGCCTTCCATCTGTGCACAAACTTATCTCGTGCCCTCATTGGTCATGTGNCCTCCAGTGTGAGGGCCTCAAAAGGGCCCATATTGAGAGTTTACCACAAGTGATGAGAGGCAGCTGGGTCTGCCTCATATAACTCCTGGACGAGGTGGGTGGTAAGTCGGTCCGAGAAAAAACTGAGAAATGATTACCAGAAAGAGAAGGTGATTAAGTGAGGCCCCCCAGGGACTGAGAATGTGACCACTGGAATCGTGTCTTAAATGAAATACAGTAAGGCCACACTACGGTAGGCAGTAAGAGGCCCCTAGGTTTAGAAAAAATGTGGATAGTCGAAGGCAGGATAGAAAAATAAAGCTGGCGCTTCTTTCCTCCCTTCCACCCCTCACCTTTTGTAAAAAACGAAATGTAGGGCTCCTCAATTGGTTGTAATGTACTTCTTGTCACAACTCACGCAATGCCCTAAAGAACTTGAAATCCCAATATTCAAATGCATCTAAATAGTAGCCAAGTATTCATGTTGTGTTAAAATAGCAAAGTTAAAACATCAGACATATGTTTCTTGATGTACTTAATGCAATATTTGGATTTCAAGCCATTTCACTCTCCGTAAATCATCATATTTTAGCAGCAATTACGCCCTGGAAAAACCAAGAAGATATTACAAGAAAGGATATTTCAGCCCCGCGCGCTGACGATACTAACACACATTTAAGGAGAGCCAGCTCATTAAAAGTTAGTGAATCTGATGCTCTACCTTTTTGGTTAGCTCTGGTTTCCCCATGATGCGTGCAGTCATGCTGATGTTTGTTTTTTTTAGTGTCAACCTGACCTTTTGGCAGCGCTCGGTATCAACTGGCTGCCTCCATGCCAGGCACACAACACCTCAACTTTCTGCCCAGGCTGGGTTATCAAGAATGTGAGGCGCCAAAGTGGAAGGCGGTGGGAAAATGTGTGAGTCTGGGCCAATGAGCCTTGAGCGCAGAGGGCCAGAGAGCGACGAGAGCCGAGAGAGCGAGAGAGAGAGAGAGAGAGAGAGAGAAGAGAGACGAGAGAGAGAGAGAGAGAGAGAGGGGGGGGCGGGGTGAGGATGGAGGGCCAACCCGATATGTCCTGGTACGAATGACTCACCGATGCTGGGTATTTATAGCATCAGGAGGGGGGGAGGGAAGTGTGTGGGTGGAAGAGTGAGGGGGGCAAGCGGTTTGGGAGGCGGACAGGACAGCATCATCGCACCGCCGACAGGGAGTGGTGGAGGGAGAGACGGAGACCACAGGGAGGAAGCACTGGGGGAGAAAAATGGGGGAGAGGAGGGACGGTGGGAGGGACAAAGCAGAGGAGGAGGTTGGAAAACAAGCCAATAGGAGGAGGCGAGGGGAGGGGAGGGGAGGGGAGGGAGTGTGGATGAATGGGACTGAACACAATGGGAAGATGAGAGGGTGAACTGTGAACAATATAAGATAAAATTAGAACAGCATGCATATGAGAAAGAGCATATTTAAAATGAAGTGTACAAAAAACGATCCTGCTGGGTGTGCCACACTGCAGAAGCAGCTGCTTGTTAGTGTTTGGATACTTAAGAATTGGGCATATTGGGTTTTTGTGATAATAAATATACAGTTTGTCTCTCTGAGCTGTTGTGTAACCAGTGTCAACTCAATACACATTTGCAAAAACACAATTCCCTGTAGCCTCAGATAGAGTCATGTAGAGGGGACAGAACCATGACCACGGTTGCCTAGAAGCTGTACATCTGAATAAACACATAAGGCAAGTCATTAGGGAGACAGAAATCGAATTTGAGATACTTTATTTGAAGCTTCACAACACAACCATGTGCATGATGGTTTGTATCATTCTTGCTGCAAATATTTGTATTGGTTTGTTAAGTCTCTCATTCCGCTCTCTCCATTGACAAGATTCCTTCATCAGAAACACACATCCTGCCTCTGGTGACGTCAGCAAGTGAGTCACACTGCATCTCTTACCATAGACACTAGCATAATCTGTGCACGTGTGCTCACATGCACTGTGGAGGGCTGGAGCAAGCACGAAAGCTCACCGTCGGTCTGATGAAAGGGGGATGAGTCAGAACACCAAGGTGAACACTTGCAGCCTTCGATATGAATGTAGTCAAAGAAGATTCAAGAGGGTTTTCGTATTGAGCGAAATGTTGGTTGACAGGGTAGCAGGAGGCAGGGCGGTAAAAGTAGCTGAAACTGTAAGTTTCATAAAATAGTGCTACACTTTGAGGATTGGTTGCTGATTCAACAAGAGGGAATAGGTTTGTGATGGTGCCTGAAATAGTGGCTTTAATGTTGAGAAGTAAAAATGAGTTGAGGCTAAATCGATTTGCAAGAGAGGCAGAGATTTCCATTTTTCCAAAGTCAAGTACGAGAGTTAGATGAGATGATCAAAACCAGTCTTCGCTGAATATGTGTGCAGCTGAAGCTAGCAGCTGGTTAGCTAAGCTTGGCATGGAGACTGTTAATGGAGAACAGCAGGGCTCAGTCCAAAGGTGTAAAAAAAGCAATTGATCACACCACTGTGGTTTATTTGCTGGACTTGTCTTGGTCGTGAGCAAGTTTCTAGAACAGCAGTTACAGCTCCCGTCCAGGAAATAATCTGGCACAAAAAAAACTGTTAAACGACATCTTCTTCATTCTGTTTTTGTACGGACAAAACAAACAAGATGGGCCAGGACTCTCTTAAAAAAAAGATTTTTTAATCTCAATGATATCCTGGTTAAATAAAGGTAAAATAAAAGGTATAAAGTGCTTCTTAGTGATCTTAGAATTGCTAGTACAGAAGGTGGATTTTGCACATATCCCAGCTAGCTGTTTCCAAAGTTTCTCAATCTTTAAGCTAAGCTGAACCAAGCCAACCAGGTGCTACATTTAGGTATATGTTTATCATACAAACTCTTATCGTCTTCTCATTTAACTCTCAGCAAGAAAGTGACGCATGTCCTAAATGTCAAACTCTTATTAGAGACAAATATTAACATGGCCATTAATAGAAGATAGAGGCTCGGCTGGTGAACTCAGCCTCATTAAAACAAATATACTTTTGCCCACACACAGGCTTCCTGTAGCATAACATGGACATGTGCCCTTTTCAAAAATGCTAAACCTGTTTAAAATGTCCACCTTTATTCCTTTCATACACTCCTTCAGTTTCCCTCTCTCCTCCCTATGTTTCTCAAGACAGACCACTTCTACCCTCAGGAGTGCTCCTCTGTCCTAATGGTTTCAGACAACATGTAGCTGCCCTAATCACCCCCGCTCTGCTCCTGGCTGAAACCACCTGCTGCCTCCTGAAGACAAGGACCATGATTTAAACACAGTAATTGGCACAAGGAGAGAGATGAGCCGGATGGGTACAAAAGAAGAGAAAAGTAATGAATTCAAGTCACTCAGAAAATGCTAAGAAAAGAAGCGACTAATGGAGAAGAGGAGGATACCAACCTGTGGGGAGAGACGACGCTGGAAGCAGATGAAAGGCCATGAGGCTGCGTCACCATGGAGACGTTGGTTGAGAAGATGTTGAGCCATGACAACAGGCGTGCCATTCTCTCCCAGCCTCATGACGGGGGGCGAAGAGGTGAGGAAGAAAACACACAAAGGAGAGGGGGGAAGAATGACCACATATGGCTTCATCGATGTTAAGCCATCAAGGAAGAAATCCAAGGTTGCTACTATAAGTCAGTTGTTTATGTTTGATAACGTGTCCTTGAGCTGATACAATATATCAAAGAAAGATTCAGCTTTACGAGGCTTTGTGTGTTTCCATCTTTGCAATTGGCTGTCATTGCATATGCACATATGGGCGTGTGCTTTTCTGCCATTGTGACGCACGCGAGCTGTTGTTGAGCTGATATCATTCTCTCCCTGCTGCTCTGATGGACATGTGGATAAACACCAGAAGTGTCTCCATTGCCTACTATGGGTGTACAGACTGAGGAGGAGGTATGTTTTGTAGAGAATGGAACAAATTGACACTCATCCATGAGACAAAATTAAACAAATGTATTTTGGAGAGAGGGAGAAATTGAGTACAATAAAACCTGATATGAAAATGTGGACCTAGCTGAACATGTTCCATTTAATCACTGATTCAATCCCACTGAGCTCAATATGTGTAACCAACAGAAGCAGGGGGAACTATTCAGTAGAAATAATGAGGGAGATAAAAGGAACATAGCATGTACCAATCACTAAAAAGGTTTCTTCTGTTTTGAATGTCTCAAGTAACAGCGTGGGTCTTTAAGGATTGATGCACATAGACAGCACATCACAGGCCCCGCAGCAGAATGACAGATTGAGCCAGTAAATCTTCCACCACCAGGAACCTGCTGGGAATTGAGTCTAAAAACCTCTGATCCATCACTTGGAGTCCTTATAGTACCCTGTTGGCTGACAACGTACACAACAGATACAACATTATTTAGATGAGCTAAGATTTCACACCTATAAGGATGTACCTTTTAATAACATCAGATAGACCTGTGAACATTTATGGCCATGAAACTGCCAAGAAACATCAATAGCTTAGACACTGGCAAAGGTACATTTAACGAAATGACATATCCCTATAAAATGCATTCCAGTTTGTTTGTTGTGGTGCATGATACCTTACTCACGCACACCACAGCAACCATATGACAAGTTATTTTTGTAGCAGTGGAAACCACCGTCTCTGCGTTTCTGAATAAAACACCACTTGCGTGTGTGTTTTTATACGCTTGAGTATGTGTTCCTAGCTGTAAATGGACTCCAACCAAAAAGTAAAGGGCCCTTGAGC